GAGAGAGAGAGAGAGAGAGAGAGAGAGAGAGAGAGAGAGAGAGAGAGAGAGCACTTTGCTCGATTCTCTGTGTTCGTTGAAGGCAAATCAATCGCGAGAACATTGGGCATGGTTTATCGATTAGAAGTAGCTGCAATGACGCTTTGGCTTATCTAAAACGCTGATCTTCACAACAGATTCTACAGAACAAACACATTATTTGGGAGCTACCAATATAATGTACAGATATTTTATGTGATATCGTTTCTGATTATACAATTTCTTTTGAATCTTCATGTTGCCTGATTGAGTTTATAGAATTAAAGGTTCATCAATTGAAGCTGCTATTAATTTTCCGTACATATTTTTTAATGAATGCAAGTATACATTATAAAGGATAACATTTTACATCCCAAGGCGTCTATAGTTTCATGTCAAAGTTCATGCACCACTGATAAAGACTGAAGAGTCTTTGTCTTGTTTACCTAGATCTAGTAATTCCTCACCCTGCCTCAGGAAAAAGCCGTTAACTAGATCTAGTACTACGACAGTTATAAACAACAATAGATCTAGATTCTAGATCTAGTCTTTCTGTCACCTCACAAATCAACAATACGAGAAGCAGTTCGTTAGAAATGTTCTCTGTATCAATTGTGTGTTGGAAAATGTTGCGGTTTTCCCTTGCATAACATCGTAGTGATAAATGCTCTTCCATAACAGATTGAATTTGAATGGTAAATGCATTATCATCTCCGACTTTTGAAGCCGAAAGGAGAGAGACGAGGGGAGGAGGTGTGTATAACCCAAGACATAGAATCTAGATCTAGATTCTAGATATAGATCTAGATTCTAGATTAGACCTAAATCTAGACGTCTTAGTCTTGACTAGTTCTAGATTTAGATTATGGTGAGTGTTTTTGTTGGTTGGTTTGTTGTTTAACTTTCAATTTAAGGTTATAGATCTAGAATGTGGTTTATTATTACGTGACGTGGTGTATTGCTGTACAGAGTGAGGCATTTAAATATAATCTAATATATCTAGCATTCTAGCTTTGACCTTTAGAGCCTATTAGGCACCCTTTATTGTTTTTTTTTTTTTTAACTGAGACGATTATAATGCAAAGTAAATTGAAAGTGGTGACTGATGACTTCTCACTTCTCTGGACTTCTTGTATAGCTATTAAATTAACTCTTTATCTCCGGCAAGCCGCTCTCGGCGGCTCGTTGTCAGAATTGCTCTGCTGGTGATCGCCGCTGGCAGCAGCTCGGGCACATTCCTTTACTTGAAGAAAACTGGTCTCTTTTATTGTCATTAGATGAATAATTATCAAAATATAAGTTCACTTTTTGAAGAGGCCAGCTGTACTTTATTAATGACGGCTAGACTGCTAGGTTAAATACGGCTAGACAGTTGGGT